AAGGAGAATGAAGAACACCAAAGACACAAGGAAAGTGTTAGCCCAAGAGACAGAAAGGGCCACATAAACCAGAGACTTCATCAGCCTGAGATCAGAAGAACTATGATGTCTGGCTACCACCAATGACCGCCCTGACAGGGAACACAACAGAGAGTCCCAGATGGAACAGGAGAAAGGTAGGGTGCAGAACTCAAATTCTAGTAGGAAGACCAGACTTAATGGTCTGACTGAGACTGGAAGAGCCCCAGAAAGCACGGCCCCTGGATTCTCCATCAGCCCAGAACTAAAACAATTTCCAAGGCCAACTCTTCGACAGGGATTGGACTGGACAGTGGGACATAAAGTGATACTCATGAGGAGTGTGCCTCTTCGCTCAAGTAGATACAAGAGACTAAACAGGCAGCTTCTGTCTGGAGGTGAGATGGGAAAGCAGAAGAGGGTTAGGAGCTGGTTGAATGGACATGGCGAATCAGGGGTGGAAAGGAGGAGTGTGCTGTCACAGTAGGGGGAGAGCAATTAGGGTCACCTAACAATGTATGTATAAGTTTTTTAATGGGAGACTAACCTGAAATGTAAACTTCATTTAAACTACAACAATAAAAAATTTTTAAAAAATGAAGAAAACCCTGTGGAACACCTCATGGGATTTGGCTCCTTGGTTTGGAGGTTTAGGGTCACGGTTTCACGGGACATCCCAGTTAATTGGCCTAATATGTTTACTGCTTCTGTTCTACCTCCTGTTTGTTGCATAGTACAAATGGCTATTGAAGGTACAACAATTGCTCTCTATTTACCTGGAGCAACAGAGGAAGAAGGAGAGTCAGGAATAGCAGGAGGAAATGGAATGTGTGCTAACTGCCTCCGTGAACAACTACCTCCTTTGCGATGAGACCGGAAGAACTGGATGGTGCCTGACTACCATTAGTGAACACTTTGATCAAAGATTCTATAGAAGAATACTTATCAAAAGGGGGAAATTGCAGACCAGAATTTTAAATTCTCATGGACTCCAGACTTTCTGTAGCCATGGAGGCTAGATGAACCCCTGAAACTATTGCCCTGAGACAATCTTTAAACTTAAACTAAAACCCTGAAGCCTTCTTTAAATCAAACAATAGTTTAATTAGTAAAGAATGTCTGCCTTGTGCACTGTTTTCTTCTAAAAACTATTTATCTAGGATCAAACTGACAACAGTAACTAGAAAGACTGGATGGGAACCTTAGGGGGCAGTGAGTTTATGTTAATGGGGGAGGAGCAACTCAGAAAAGGAGGGTGAGAATGGTTGCACAACTTGAAGAATGTAACCAATGTCATTGACTCGTACATGTAGAAATTGTTGAATTGGTGTATGTTCTGCTGTGTATAGTCTCAATAACAACAACAACAAAAATAAATTTAAAGAAAATCCTATGGAGCACAGCTCTATTCTGACACACGTGGGGTCGCCATGAGTCAGAGTCAACTCGATGGCAGTTGGTTAACCCCCAAAGGCAGAGACTCCTGGACTCGGGGAGGGGAGAGGAGAGGAGGAGAGGTCTGGAGCTAATGGGCTGTGTTTCTCTTGCTGCTGACAGCCCTGCTGTACCTGGGAGACAAGATCATTTTCCTGAAAGACCAGGTGCGCCCGATCCGGCAGCCAGGAGGCTACTACTCTGACTTCAAGTTCTTCACTCCGAACCAGTCTCTGCTAAGGTCCCAAGGGACCAGCGTGGCTAAGAAGACTGACAAGCTGAGTCTCAGACCCCTGTCACCCCACCATCTGCCTTCTGTGCCTTTGCTGTCCCTTCAGCCCCGGGGTTGGCACCTGACACACTCAGGGGCTCATGTGCCATGAAGGGTCTGTGTCCTCATCTGGCACACCAGCCTCCTCATCATCCCTCACTGGTCAGCCCACCACTTGGCATCTTTCTCAGGGCATGGTCTCCATGCCTCAGCACCAGGACAGCTATCCTTCTGACCACAGTCTACATGATCTCCAGGTCCCTGGACAAGATAAAAAGAACCTTTTTAGAAAAACAGAGGATGCCGTTCACAGACCATGGCCCCTGTGCCAGGCGCCCTGCCGAGGCTTGGGGGGGAGACAGCCCCTGCTCTGCCCTGTAGTCCTGTGGGCTGACACACCCCTTCTCTGTCAAGAGGAGGGTTTGCACCCCTAGGAGGAGAAGAGAACTCTGCCCAGGGGGCTGTCCTTGACTCTCAGATCAACCCAAGTCCTCTCTAAGAAAATGACCTCCATTGGTAATCCAAAGCCAGGACCACGCAGATTTGAGCTGCAGGCAGATTATGAGCCGGCCTTAGGAGGCAGCATCCCTACTAAGGGATGGGCTTACTGATGGGGAGGGAGGAGGCAGCTAACCAGACACCTGGGGGTGGGCTGACTCCAGCACTCTAGACCACTGCTAGCTGCCCATTGGGGTTGTGTGCCCAGATGGCAGGAATGGGATGCAGCATAGCCAAGTGGAAATTAAGCAGGCATTAAATGAACAAGTTACTTTACTCCCTTAGCCTCAGCATTTTCATCTGTAAATTGGTCACAACACACAATGAAGATTAGATGAGAAACGCATGTAAACTTCTCAGCACAGTGTTAGGCGGATCGCACTTCATCAACGGTTATGGTGGTTGTTGTTATCATAATACCCTGTTCCATTCAGAACCTTCTCAAGTGCAGTTGTGGGCCCAGGCCTGCAGGTAGGGCCTGTCCACTCTGGTTGCAAAGAGCTGAGTGTGACCCAGCCTGGGTGGTGGCCTGGGAGGCCCTTTCTGATCACTTCGTGACCACCTTCTCACCCCAGGGTAGCTGGCACCAATTCACGAACCCAGGAAGTGGGTGAGAGCTTGGGAAAGGGATTTTTGTCCATACTTAGGCCAGAGCCATAAAAGATAGAGAGAGCAGTCCCCTAAGGCAGGGATGGACATTGGCTTCATCTTGCTCCTTAGACTGGGTTGGGAAAAATTCTGAGGCCAGATGCAGGCTTAGTGGGAAAGAGTGCTGTAATTGATTCATGTCGTCTGCCAAACCCAAGGTTTTAGTAATTTTCGCCATCCTTGTCATCTGACTGTGGAAGTGGGAGTCAGAGGTCCCCAAAGCATTCCAATTTAGCAGCTACTATTTATTAAGCATCTCTCCTAACTACCCCAGGATGCCCGCTTCTGGGAAATGAGGAAATCCAGGCCTGGGTGATGATACTGGGTCTGGGCGACCCAAGGCCGTGTGAGTTCCACTGGAGCATGGATGACAGTCAGGGCGTCACTCCAGGTGGAAGAAATTCTCTTCCAGACAGAGCACTGCACCCCCACCCTCCTCCCCCGTTAGCCTGACTTTCCACTCTCCTAACAAAATGCCTCTCTCTTCTCCTATAGGAAAATGCCAAAGAAAATCAAGAAGATACGCTTTAAGGAGTTTGAGGAACTCACCAGGTCTGTAGTTATCATCTAACTCCAGAAGGAGGGAGGGCAGTTTGGAGGGCTGGCCTGGCCTTGGAGGAGGGGCCTGGGACTCATCAGTCAACCATACAGATGCCCACTGGCGAAGCTGGCACCAGACCCCAGAAGAAAGGAGCCTGGGGCACAAATGGGAGTGGTGTCACAGACATCCCATGAAGACTTCACAAGGCCCCTTTTTGGGCAGAGATCTTAGGTCAGGAGTCAAGAAACCTGGATCTGAAGCCTGGTTCTGCCATTGTCTTGTGTGAACTTGGGCAAGGCTTTTCTCTATGGGCTTCAGTTTCCTCTGCTGTCAAATGGGTACATGTGTGTATACTTGACAGGGCTGTTACTAGGGTTAAATAACAGCATGTGAGTCTCACAAGTCTTCCCTTTCGGAAACAGAACAGTGGAAGTGATCCATTCTCAACCAGGAGTCCAGGAGTGCAGCTCCAAGCAACCATAGGGACAAAGTCTTTATCAAGTTTCCCTCCTGGTTTAAACATCCATGTACACTTGTACTCCACGATAAATCTGTGCTCGTTTTAATATAAAAAGTAAGGTTTTTCTCCCTTACATCTTCAAATAAATGATACTCTAGGAAAGTGGGTTTTCTTTATCCCATGCTTATTCCTAGGAGTACATGTACCGTGTTTTGGAAGCTCCTATCTTGGGCTCAGTCCCAGGAGCTGAAAGGCAGTAAACCAACACTCACAGAGAGCCAGGCAGACACTGGGCTGGGTGCTTCACATGTGTTCACTCATTTTAATCCTGTCACCACCCCTATGTCATCTCACCACCCCTATGACATAAGTTACTCTTAGCATACCCATTTTAAAGGAGAGGAAACTGAGATACAGAAAGGATAACTACCTTGCTCAAAATCACACATCAATTAAGTGGTGGAGTAGGGATTTGAACCCAGTTGTACTCTGAACACCACATTAAAGTGCCTCTAGAAAATAGATGGTGCTTGCTTAAGAGCTTGTGCTTTAATACCGACAGCATTATGCTGAGTGAAATAAGCCAGATACAGGACAAATACATATATTAAGTCGAATCATATAGTATTTGTCCTTTTGTATGTGGGAAACCCTGGTGGTGTAGCAGTTAAGAGCTACAGCTGCTAACCAAAAGGTCAGCAGTTCGAATCCACCAGGCCCTCCTCGGAAACTGTATGCGGCAGTTCTACTCTGTCCTATAGGGTCGCTATGAGTCGGAATCGACTTGATGGCAACGGGTCTACTTATATGAGGTATCTAGACTAGGCAAATTCATGGAGATAGAAAGTAGACTACAGGTACCAGTGGTTGGGGGGGTGGGTAATGGGGAGTTATTGTTTAATGGGTACAGAGTTCCTGTTTGGGATGATAAAAAAGATCTGAAAATAGATAACAGTGATGGTTACACAATATTGTGAATGTACGTAATGCTACTGAATTCTACACTCAAAAATGGTTAAAATGGTAAAATTTATGTTATGTTTATTTTACCATGAGGCAGCTGACTGGAATTCAGGCCTGTGCTCTGCCACTTACTCACCGTGTAACCAACCTTGGGGAAGTGAGTTAGCCTCTTCAGGCCTGACTTCCTCACTGGAACTATCCTAAGTAGACAGGATAACAGAACCCACCTCATGGAACCATTGTGAGGACTGAGATACTAAAGTGCTTAGCACAGGGCTAAATCTCCACTTGGGCCACGATCGATTTGCTCCACTGAGAAGGCGCCCCTGCCCTGGCCTGGCCCGCTATGATGTCCTTCCCTATATCTTCTCATTTTCCAGGAAGCTGAAGGCGAAGAGTTCCAGTGGTCAGCAGCTAACCCACCCCAACTTCTTCTGGCCAGGCCACCTCCTGGACAAGCTGCAGCTCTACCTGCCCACCGTGGCCACGGACCGGAGTTTGGCAATCTTCAGCCATGTTCAACACCAGCCCCCTGCCTACCCAGCCATCTACCACCCCAACCGCTGGTGGCCCATGAAGAACATGAACTACATGACCTGTGCCTATTATGATGGCCCCAAGGTCTACTACATCAACTAGAGCAGCACAGGGCTTGCCAGAACCTAGCCACCCTGTGGCCAGGGACCAGTACAGACAGTGAACCAGAGCTATAGACACAGGGGAGTGTCATAGAGCCAGACAAAAACAAACAGTTTCAGTGGAATGGCCCCAGGGGCCAGCTCCTTCCAGACCCAAACGGCCCAGTGTCTCAGAGGGTAGATGTGTCCAGGGGAAGACATGCAGGTTTTCAGTGTTTCCCTCCCCTGCCCTCTGTCCTTTTGAAATAAACCAGCTTGGAGTTTTTTCCATGCCACCGGTGACTCAGCTGGTGTGATTTCTTGCTCAGGAGCTGTGACCAGAGGGGTATTTGGAAAGGTGGCTCTTGAGCCTGAGGGAATGCAGCAGGCACGTGTTCGCTGGGATGCTGACAGGACACCTGCACGGTACCTCCAGCCTCTCGTCCTGGGATCTCAGTGCCTGCAGGGAGGCAGCAGGCAGTGTCGGTAACCCTGTGCCCTCCTCTGTGAAATGAGGTGGCTGCATGCCCTTCACCCCTGAAGACTTGCCATTTGGATTACTGCTTCCAAATCTCTCGGGTCTTTGGAAATTAGAGAAATGCTCTCTGGTTCATGACCCCTCCCCCTGGTTAACCCACCTGACCCCATCAAGATCTTTTCCTTCTACACACATCATGTGGGCTGCCATTAGCAACCTGCTTCCATGCTCCACCTCCCACCTGTGGTGTGTCCCAATACAGGAGACATTGGTGGTTCAGTGGTATAATTCTTGCCTTCCACATTGGACATCCCGGTTCGATTCCCGGCCTCGTGCACAGCCACTTTCTGTCAGTGGAGGCTTGTGTGTTGCTATGATGCTGAACAGGTTTCAGCAGAGCTTCCAGACTTAAGATGGACTAGGAATGTGATCTACTTCCCTACAGACTGCAAGGGCCAATATGCATCCTATCATTGACAAATGTATGACCTTGGACAAGGCATTTCATTTCTCTGCGTCTCCTCAAACCCCTAGTCCTCCGCCTCACAGCCTGAAGAGCTGTCATCACTCACTCTCTTTCTTTTCACCTTCACCTACACAATCCGCTTTCACTTCTGTCCCCATCTCACCCCTGGAACTAATCTTGTCCAAGGTCGCTATTTTGTTGTGCAATCAAGGGGCATTTTTTTCCACCTGAAATTGGATTTTCACAATTATCTTCAAGATAAATGCAAAGCAAAACAAACCAAAAGCAACAAATAACGAGGCAGTCTAATGGCTGGAGTCAGATCTCCAAACTTCAATTTTCACGTATGTAAATGGAAGAAATAATAGAATTACCTCACAGAATTGGATATTAGGTGTCCACTGAATGTTAGCTGTTATATTCTCAATATTATTTACTGTGTAAATTCACGTGAGTAAATTAGGATGTCTCTGTTCCAAGGAGCCCTGGTGATGCAGTGGTTAAACACTTGGCTGCTAAGGTCGAGGCGGTTGAACCCACCAGCCTCTCCACGGAAAAAGATGCGGCAATCCGCTTCCATAAAGATTTACAGCCTTGGAAACCCTGTGGGGCGGTAATACTCTGACCTGTAAGGTCCCTGGAGACTCTGGTGGCATAGTAATTAAGAGCTACGGCTGCTAACCAAAACGTCAGCAGTTCGAATCCACCAGGCACTCCCTGGAAATCCTATGGGCAGTTCTACTCTGTCCTACATGGTCGTTACGAGTCAGAATAACCTAGACGTCAATGGGTTTGTTCTTTTTCGCCCTTGCCACTAAGAGGCGCACTTCGCACTTCCGTATAGTAGAAACGCTGGCGGATATAGCCTAAAAGCTGGATTATGCTTGAGAGAAACGGCTTCACCTGCTGGCGGAAGTAAATGCCGTACTGGGTCTTAGAAGCTTAGAAAGAATTCCAAATTTTCTACCGGGTGCCAACAGCAAGTATGATACATTTTAAGCACCTTGATAGATATGTGTCTAAGAAAACATAGGTATATCTCGGCATCTTATCACAGCATTATTCTCTGGCGTTTAGTTTTTCGTTGAAGGCCCCGGAGCCGGAAGTGCTTGCCTTTTCCTTGCCAGGACCTAGAAGTCAAGTCCCATCAGTCCTTGCGCCCCACCTTCCCTTTTCTCTTCCTGGGCGCTGCCTGCAGAGGTGGCGGCCATCTCCTATCGGTAAGTCTCAATCATCTGCCATCCGCGTCTCTGCGGTCTGCATCTGGCCCCACCGCCCCCTGGTGAGGCGGCCTCCCTTTCCGCGCTGTTGTTTAGGTGGCCACTGTCCTTGCCTGCTGGCTGGAATGCGGACAGGAACGTTGCGGCCCGGGTCGTTAATGGGGTTTCGCCTCTTAGGGCCTTTCGCCTACCTACGGAGTCCGCCTGGGGTCAGTCAGCGCTGAGGATAACTTGTTTCAGCTCTGGCGGCGCAGAGTTGAGGCCAGACCAAGAGAACTTCTGGGGTGATGAAACGACCGGGGGTAACCGGCCTGGCGGACCTAGGCTTGGGTCTTCCGGACCTGGCGCTCAGCGATGTCCGCCCACGTGTACCCTTCCATACTGCAGTGCGGCGCGCCTTCGCCGCCGGTCTCTGGCGCTGGGGGCCGCTGCTGTGGGGGGACCATCAAAGACGAACTGCCAGTCGTCTCGTTCAGTTAACAGAAATTTTAATAGCAGGTCACGATTAAACTGCTGCCTTGCCTTCGAGGATATCATGGTCCCAGGGCAAGAAGTCGTTTGTTTATTGAACAGATGGTCATTGAGCACCTACTCTGTGCCAAACAAAAAGTATATTGATGGCCGTGAAGAAAACAAAAGTGCCGCAGTAGAAACAGATGGGGTAGGGGGGAAGACCACTCTGAGGGAGGTAACCTTGAATGCAATACTCAGATGACCTCCAGGTAGAACAATAGTATGTTCAGAGGTTTTGAGTCATGTTAAAAGTATATCAGAGTCTTGTGTATGCCTCGAGTGTATTGCAGGGTAGCAACATCCTAGGGGGATTATAAATCTCTTAATTGGACATTTACTTAATGCCACGCACTGTGCAAGCATTCAACGTACAGTATCCTCTCCATGTTACAGGTGAGAAAACTGAGGCTTGGGTTCAAGTAGATTGCCCCAGATCCATACAACTAACAGGAAATTGAACCATCAGGGGGTTGGAATGTCTTTGTGAGGTGGGATTTGCTGCTACTGGCATTCTTTCTTGGTCTCTAGGTTAGGTGGCTCCTAACCTCCCAGGATCGCTTCTGGAGAATAGCTAGTATTCTGCCAGCTTCGGACACGGGAGGGAAAGCAAGCTTGTCAGAGACCCATTCCATTCCCAGTTTGCTCAGTAGCTGGTGATTGGAAGATACTCTGCAACAGTGCTCAAGCCCTGGGCAGGAAAGCCTCCTTCCTGGAGACACTTTTGACATGTGTCTGCCTCTTTCTTAAAGGCACCATGGCTGCCCTCAGACCCCTGGTGAAGCCCAAGATTGTCAAAAAGAGGACCAAGAAGTTCATCAGGCACCAGTCAGACCGTTATGTCAAAATTAAGGTATGTGACCCTGGAATGGAAATGAGTGTTGGGATGAAGGACCAAAGCAGACATGTTGCCGTTGAGTCGATTCCGACTCAGCTGTCCTATAGGACAGAGGACAGCTGCCCCATAGAGTTTCCAAGAAGTGACTTGGTGGATTCAAACTGCTGACCTTTTGGTTAGCAGCCATAGCTCATAACCACTGTGCCATCAGGGCTCTGGGATGAAGAAAACCAAAAAACCAAACCCATTGCCATCAAGTCAATTCTGACTCATAGCGACCCTATAGGACAGAGTAGAACTGCTCCATAGGGTTTCTGAGGAGTGGCTGGTGGATTTGAACTGCTGACTTTTCGGTTAGCAGCCGAGTTCTTAACCACTATACCACCAGGGCTTGGGGCTCTAGGGTGAAGAAAGGCGTTCATAAATAGGCTGTTGTGTTTCTGACATCACATAAAGTAGTTGGAAAATTACCTTCGGCAAATGAACCAGGTTGTTGGAAGAGCTCTCTGGAGAAACCCTGGTTTCCCTTAGTCTTATTGGCACTCAGTCTCTTGTGTAAATCGTGTTTGCATTTAAATGATAAGGGGGATCCTTGGCTGTTTAGAGGTGTCAAACCCACCACAGCTCAGCTGGAGAAAGATGTGGTACTGTGTTTCCATAAAGATTGCAGCCGTGGAAACTATGAGGCACGTCTTCTCTGTCCAGGAGGGTTGCTATGAGTCAAAATCGATTCGACGGCAACAGGTTTGGTTTTGGTTTTTGATAGGACTTTGTGTCATGGATATCCTGTGGCCTTATGACCACATAAGGGATAGACTGTTCTTATTTTATAGATGAGAAAACTTGGGTCCTAAGAATAATGACCAGATCCACGCTTTACATTTTAACACAATATATTTATATCCCATTAGTATCTATTCTACTTTTCCTTTGCTTAGAAGGAGGGTAAATCTGGCTGACTTTCCTGCCCCAACAGGCTACATTTCTGGTGGTCAAAGGCAGGAGCCCTATTTTTCCCACAAAAAAGTATGTAAAGTAGTAGTGAAATCTGTTATCCAGTGATAACTACCGTTAGGCATATTTCCATTTTAGTTGCAGCTTTTCCCCCCAAGAGGAAGAGTTGGAGTCTGCACAGACACTCAACCACCAGTGTGTTGTCTTTCAGCGTAACTGGCGCAAGCCCAGAGGCATTGACAACAGGGTGCGGAGAAGATTTAAGGGCCAGATCTTGATGCCCAACATTGGTTACGGGAGCAACAAGAAAACAAAGCACATGCTGCCCAGTGGTTTCCGCAAGTTCCTGGTCCACAGTGTCAAGGAGCTGGAAGTGCTGCTGATGTGCAACAAGTGAGTTGGGTAGCGCCTTTCGGCATAGGGTTCAGAAGCCTGCATCTGTGAGCATGAACATGTGTGGGCCATTTGGCAGGGACTCTAGAGTTTCTTGGTTTGCATTTGCAGGAGTTGCGTATTCTGAGGAAATCTGAAGTAATTCCCTGCAGCAGAAACTTAAAGAGAATGCTTATTGGGGCTTCAGAATGTTTTCTTTGCTGGAGAGGGGGAGACTGTTGTCATCCAGAGTACAAAGACCCAAGACCAGGAGAGAGGACATTGGTTGACTCCGCAAACACTGCAGTTTAACATTTCTAGAATGGTGTTTTCTTTGTGTGGGCAGTCAAGGGAGAAGATCACATGTAGCCTCAGACCTAACAGGCAGTTGAGCCTACACTATGGCTGGGGGTATCTTCAGAATGCTACAGGAACAAAGGGGTTGCTGCCTGTCTGGGACAGGAGGGCTTTAGAGCTGAGTGTGATCTGAGGCAGAGAAAAGGAGCAAGACTTTCCATCTCAGGCAGAGAGAACAACTTACAGCAATGGAAACATTCATGGAGGGTTCACAGCGAGTTACTTGGAGGTGTTTTGAGCAGTTAGACACTTGATGAACTCTGTGTATGAGAGACTTCATGGTCTGCTCAGGCAGTATATCACCTAGGCTCAAAAACTAGGGCAGTGGAGTGAGAAAGGATTCAAAAGATTTTCCATGGGAAATGATTTAGACACTTCACATGCCTCTGGATTGGAGGGAGTGGTGTTTCTTGGTTACGTAGAGCGCAGTTCATTTTCCTCCCTTACTGGTAAATTGACGCCAACAAGCTGCATTCACCTAGTAAATTAGGAAGGACGTGGCCAGTGCATGCCTGATTAAAACATTCGTGTATACAAAAATCTTTTTTTATCAACCACCATTCTGGCTTGAGGAAACGCTGGAAATGTCCTTCAGAAAAGGTGAGTGTGGGAATTGGTGTTGGATGCCCAAACTGCTGACAGGTGGGTTAAAACAGATATTATGCAGCAAAAATAACCATTCTTCATCTGTAGTAGGATTGGCACTCAAAACATGTTGCTGATTGCTGTGAAAATGTTATGCTGTTTTTAGGGTGGCTTGGCAGGGCATCTAGCTATAAAAATAGTGTCGATGACTTTGATTCACATAAGGTCCATTTCTGGGCATTTATCCTTAAGTAGTTGAAAAAGGAAAACTATACAGCTGGGTTGTTAACAGTAGTAGCTGAACAATTGGAAACAATTTGAAAATGCTTTGCACTGGATGGAATGTTCTGCATATGTTAAAAATGATTGTAATGTAGCAGTATGAAAAATGCCCAGGCAGGGGGAAAGTATTTCAAAAGTTAAATAAATACGATTTTGATCATTAAATACGCATGTGGACAAGGACCAGGGGTGGTGGCTGTGAGGGGCAGTCTTAGTTGGTTCCAACTCATAGTGACCCTGGGTACAACAAAATGAAACACTGCCCAGTCCTGCACCATCTGCACAATCTTTGCTATGTTTGGGCCCATCATTAGAGTCACTGTGTCAACCCATATCGTTGAGGGTCTTCCTCTTTTTTGCTAACCCTCTACTTTTACCAAGCATGATGTCCTTCTCCAGGGACTTGTCCCTCCTGATAACGTGAAAAGTACGGGAGACGAAGTCCTGCCATCCTCACTTCTAAGGAGCATTTCTGGCTGTACTTTTTCCAAGACAGATCTGATCTGTTCATTTTCTGACAGTTCGTGATATATTCAGTATTCTTTGCCAAAACCATAATTCAAAGGCATCTGTTCTTTGGCCTTCCTTATTCATTGTTCAGCTTTTGCATGTATATATGAGGTGATGGAAAGTATCAGGGCTTGGGTCAGGCACATCTTAGTCCCCAACGTGACATCTTTGCTTTTTAACACTTTAAAGAGTTAAAGTACCCGGGAGGGCAGTAAAAAAATGAAGCGTGTAATGCAACTTAAGTCTTTTCTGGAAACAGATTATGGAAACGTTAAAAAATACAGCTACTTTGAACTTGAATTGGAGGCTATATAAAACGAAACATTGTAGATGTGTTTGTCTCTTGCTGTTTAGCCATTTTCCTTCCGGAGCTCTTGAGAACCATATATGCCCCCAGCCTCATTTACGCACCCTGGACAATCTTGGCTTCTCTGCTGAAATTGCTCAGGGGCTAGCATGTTCTTCAGCCACTGTCAGTCATCTCTGCTGAAATGAGCTCATTTGGCCACGTTCAGCCAGCTTGTTACCAAACTGGGATGGGGCAGCTGCCTCTTAGAGTTGTGAGGAATGAATGAGTTACAAAACACTAGAACACTAACTGGCACAGAGTAGGTACTGAAGAAACAGTAGGTGTTGCTGCCACCTGCAAGACTTTAGGCAGTGTTACTTCTTCCAACTTGAATTGTGTCCTCAGCAGTCAAACCAGTAAAATACCTGTGGTCTGGGGCTGGGTAGCCCTTAGCTTGATTCTCACTGTTGGATTCTGCCCTCAGTCACTTTGCTGTTGTTAGATACCATCAGATAGGTTCCAGCTCAGCAACCCTACGTACAACAGAATGCAACACTGTGCCATCCTCAAGATTGTTGCTATGTTTGAGCCTTTTATTGCAGTCACTGTCTGGTCACTTTTTAGAGTTCTGAGTTTTCCATGGGCAAGTCCAAGCTCCTCGGAACTACAGATTAGCCAAGAAGACTGTGGTTGAGGCCTCCGAACCCGGAGTCTGGGGCAGGTCATCCTGGCCTGTCTGCTACTTGCTAGGTGGCTTGGAAGTGCTTGTCCCCCTTCTTGGGGCACATAAGTCTCATTCAGCAGCCATGTAACCCTGCACAGCCTGTGGCTCTGGAGGGGAAATGCCAAAGCCATGGACTCCGCAGCATGATTCTTCCTGCGTGTGTGCTCAAGGCTGGCCTGCTCCTCACCCACTTACTCGATTTTCTTCCAGATCTTACTGTGCTGAGATTGCGCACAACGTTTCCTCCAAGAACCGCAAAGCCATTGTGGAAAGAGCAGCCCAGTTAGCCATCAGAGTCACCAATCCCAACGCCAGGCTGCGCAGTGAAGAAAATGAATAGACAGCTCATATGCAAGTTTTATTTGTGTTAAATAAAACCGTAAAAACCCTGCTATCTGGTATGTTTCACCACTTGATTTTAGTTTTCCATTTCTTGACTATGATAGCTTGTCAACAGAGATTGTTCTTTTCCCTGTTAACACTCTAGCATCTTTGGTGAAGAGGCTCATAAAGGGCATTTGATCCTTCTGCAGGGAACATGACCTCAAGTACCCAGACTAGCTTTGGCCAGCTCCAGTTGGGTGGGAGAAGAACATGGACTTGGCCATCAGACCCAAGTAGGTTTTGAGACACTGGAATAGCCTTGCAGTTCTGAGTGCGTGGTCATTTTTGGCCTCACTTCACGAAGTCAGATCACAGTTACCTCATGTGGTTCTTGTGAGGATGAAAAAATGTACGTGCCCTGAGGGACTGAGTTACTGGGCTGTGGGGACCATGGTCTCAGGGAACATCTAGCTCAACTGGCATAACATAGTTTATAAAGAAAATGTTCCACATTCTACTTCGGTGAGTAGTGTCTGGGTACTTAAAAGCCTGCAAGTGGCCATCTAAGATTTCTCTACTGGTTTCACCCCTTCAGGAGCAAGGGAGAATGAAGAAAGCTACAGACACAAGGGAAAGATTAGTCCCAAGGACTAATGGACCACAACTACCATGGCCTCCACCAGATTGAGTCCAGCACAACTTGATGGTGCCCGGCTACCACTACGGACTGCTCTGACAGGGATCGCAACAGGATCCTGGACAGAGCTAGAGAAAATGTAGAACAAAATTCTGACAGAAAAAGACCTGACTGACTGGAGAAACCCCCGAGAGTATGGCTCCTGGACACCCTTTTAGCTCAGTAATGAAGTCACTCCTGAAGTTCACCCTTCAGCCAAAGATTAGACAGGCCCATAAAACGAGACTAAAGGGGCACACCAGCCCAGGGGCAAGGACGAAAAGGCACCAGGGGACAGGAAAGCTGGTAATAGGGAACCCAAGGTTGAGAAGGGAGAGTTGACGTAGGGTTGTTAACCTCCAATGTCATAAAACAATCTGCATGTAAAAAAAAAGGAAGGATCCAGATAAACTTCTTAAATGCTCTTAAATTCTTACAGGGTGCCAAGGTAGCTTTTGTCCTTAAAAAATACACAGTAGGATGACATCCAAACCCCTTTTCTGTACGACCAGTCTTGGGTATCTGAACATAGCTGTTTCCCATATATCATCCTCTCCCCAGCTTACTGCTTCAGGCATGACTTAACCGTTTTCCAAGAGGGATCAATTTAACACTTGGTTAGTTAAGCTGCAGCCCTAAAACCTCCTTAGACAACAAAAAGCTAAAATTTAGTACTGTGTTAAATATAAGGTTAATGTTTAAGCCATGATAATGCTTTTCAAAATAATGGTTTTAAGTGACAGTATCGGTCACAGGAAATAAAGCATGTAGTACTCTAAAATGAGAAATGCTTAGAGGATGTTTGCTCTCACCATCCTGGTCAGTCTAGCAGAAATACTCCACTGGTCTATAATAAATACACCTTTTGTAGAGTGCTAGGAATGACTGGAGTAGATTTTTCAGACCCTTAGTTCCAGTAGGTAATGACTTGCTGGTTGGCTACCTCCTATTGAAACCTCATCTTAAACATTTGATGAATTGGTCATTTTCATGATTCAGTGGATTTGGGAAGTGTACTGAAGAGTGTGTAGCTACTGGGGAGGAGAAATTGTGAGACTATAGTAACAAGTAATTTAGCATCTTTTTTATTAACCTGGGACAATCACAGAAAATACTTCAGCCTGTCACTTTATTTCTGTGTCCTCAATACTAAAATCTAGAAACAACATGTTCAAAACCTTCCTCAGGAGGACACAGACCAACTGGTTATGCCTGGGCCAAGACATGAAAGGTGATTTGTATTTTCCTTTGCACTTTTCCTGTTTTCTCCCAATGTGCTACATGAGAATTTAGAAACTAGAAAAAAACAGGTCAAGCCTGTCCAATTCCCTAACCTACCTATTTCACCCGCTAGCAAAAAACTCTTAACCTACGTCCAAATTTGATTCATCATAGCCAGTTAGGAACAAAGCAATTTGAAATCTAAAAGGTGAGTAACTCTCAGGTACATGAATTGCTTTTTAAGATGCCCAACCAGGGCACTCATTTTTGGCATTTCAGACTCCAGACCAAGTAGAATGAAAAAATGGAAGTGGTGTGAGTGAAAAATTTGAGACGCCAGTGGGAAGGAAGGTCAGCCCACTGCCTCCCCTAACCTTTCACAGCTGTGGGCACGGCGTATTTCTAATACTAGTTAGTACTTCGGGAGGCAGGGACCCCCCAGTTTGAAGGAAGCTGACTGAGTATGGGCATACATGTTGGGAGGGCTTGGAAAATGTCCTCACCCTATTGCATTATGGCTGTCCTGAGCTATAGGACCCAACTGTTGGCAGACCTCAATTCTGGCCAGGGGTCTGCTGGTTGGGGTCCCTAGAGAAGGCACTGTGAGCCCGACCAGGCACAGAAGGGCCCCCAGGGAGGTGATGAGAAGGCAAAGTAGAGGCCTGTGGTCTGTGGTGAAGGGTGAGGCCTCAGGCCTGGGGTGGGCCCCTCTTGAGTAAGGCCCCCTAAGGGCTAAGGAAGGACTAGCTGAGCTCCATTGATTCTGTGCTGGGTGGTGAAGTGGAATCCTTCTGGATGCTTTCAAAGAGGGCGGCAAGTTCGGGGTTGGATCGGATTTGGGAAGAGAAGTCGGCCATGATGGGGCTTTTCCCCACTTCAGGGATAGTCAGCAGGGCGGCCACTGCCCTCATCGCCGAGCGCTTCAGTTCATCTTGCTTCTCAAACTCCTGTTTGACGGAACCAGCTTTGACCTAAAGTAGAAGCAGAATGGAAGAACAAGCCCTTCTTGATCCTTGATTGCACCTGGCCCCATACCACAGCCTGCGCACTGGTCCTGGGCTTCCTCTCTCCCCCACCTGCAGTCTTCCCCACCCAGCAGCTTGAGTGCCTTCAATGCCATCTTCATGCTCCCCTGCTTCAGGCTCCTAGGGCTCCTGCCTCACTGACCTGCTTCTTCAGCGTGGCTCTTTTCCCCTGGGGTTTTGCCTTTGTTTCCCCAGATGATGGTTCTTTGTCAGCTTCAGTGTCAACGAAGGGGCCTCTGACCAGCCAGTCTAAATTGCCCACCCCCATTTAATTTTTTTAATAACTTGATAGTGACAGTTGCTGTAAATCAATTTCTTGTCTGTCTCTTTCCACTGACAGCTGGGTTCCTAGCTTCAATTACTGTGCTTTTAACAGGCTCCTAATACCAGACGACTTGACTGAAAGGAATGATACTGTTCTAGCTCACTCAAGTCCCTGCCCTTGCAACCAATTCTACAAATGTAGCTGGAGAATTAACGTCTGAGAACTTGAGTGGTTTCTGTTTCCTCGTCCCTCACCATCTCCTGCTTATTCACAGGATCCCAGTAATCCCCCCATTGCTTATGGAATAAAGTCCAAGTTCCTTATGCTGGGGCTAAGGCCCTCCATGCTTAGCCCAGACAACACCTGAGCTCTTTCCATAGAGTCTAGTGTAGTGGTTAAGAAGTTGACATTGGTGTTGGACAATCCTCGGTTCAAATGGCCTTTGTCTCCCTTTTGCCTCTTCAGAGATCTGTGACTTCAGGTAATCACTTCCTTGAGCCTCACTTCCCATCTATAAAATAGTATAATAAGAGCCCCCTCCTCATAGGGTTGTTACAAGGATTAAATGACTTAATACAGGTCCACACTCCCTTCTCTGAAACCCTTGGAGCCAGATGTGTTTTGGAATTCAGGATTTTTTGGATTTTAGAAAGATAATACTGTGAGACAACACTCCCAGCAGGGTCTGGTGCAGTACCCTGTAATCAAACACATTAGTATTCACCCCACTAAATGTATGAAAAAAGAAGTATGACTATTATGAATAATCATAAGAGGGAAATAAAGATCATAAACAACCTCATGCCAGTTCAAGTCATGTTGCCAAACAAATTACTAAAGAGCTTTTGTTTTGCAAACCTTCATAGGTTTCAGAACTGTGGCTAAGGAACCGTGGCCCTGAGCGTGTCAACATTCATCACCAAAAACCCAACCAAACCCACTGTTGTCGAGTCGATTTCAACTCACGGTGACCCTACAGGACACAGCAGAACTGTCCTATAGGGTTTCCAAGGCTGTAATCTTTACAGAAGCTGACTGCCACATCTTTCTCCCGCAGAGTGGCCGACAGGTTGGAACTGCCGACCTTTTGGTTAGCCAAGGGTGTAACCACTGCACCACCAGGGCTCTTGTACTCACAAACAGCAGGCACTCAGAATATGGTAGCCATTACCACTGCCATGGCAGTGACCTTCAAGCTGTCTGGAAATCTAGCTTAGGAGAGGTAGTGCAGATGCTCCATAAACACTTAGTTCTAATATGATGTCAGTATTCTAAAACCCATTTATCAAATTCATTACAGCAATAATACCTACAATGAAATGTATTCTATGCCCAGTTTGAACGAATGGAAGCCATCTAGTTCTTCCTCTGAGCCGCCTGACAGAGGCTTCCGTGTGGCCTCAGGACAAAGCTGCTCTGGCGCATGTGCAGCTCCTTCTCTGTGGGAAGTGAGCTTTTCTTAATACTGAATGGCCCAAAGCAAACTACAAATGACTTGGCTGCTGAGACTGTTGAAATGGCAGTGGCCCTGCAGAATCATTGCTTCCTCTGACTGACTTGATACTAAGCAAATGTTAGAAACTTGAACTTACAATGTAGATTTTTATGAACAAATGATCAATTTTAACTGTTGTATCCATGTAATTTCATTTGGGCGGGGGGAAAGGTTTTGCTACTTGAAAACCATTGCTGTAAGGGTGTCTCTCTTCTTTAAGGCCCCAATCTAAAACACTCTGCCCTCTTTTTAGTTAATTCCTGCCCTTTCAAAGCCCTAATCAATGCTTTCAGTCAAAAGGCATTCACTCGGCAATGCCTGGGTATGGCAGGCTCTGTTCTCAACACTGCAGCTTCCCATGAGGCTTTCCACCCCAGATCCCTCCCCT